AGCAGGCTACTTTAAATCTATTAGTAGCTTTTATACTAATTAAGCTTATTAATAGCTTATTATATATTAATAAGCTAATATAGTAATTAGCTTTACTAATTTAATACTAAGGTTAATTTTTATTATAGTTATAATTAAAATAAAACTATATAAGTTAAACTAGTTTATAATAATTACTTTAAGTATTTAAATTAATTTTATAGTATTAACCTTAATTATAAAGATTATATTAAGTTAGTTAGAAAATGTATAACTTAAATAGGTAATAAATACAGACTTACTATAGTATAACAGGTCTTACTAGATTAGTTTTATTGCTTTAATTAATATTATAAGATCTGTCTCCCTAAAATCCGTATCCAGCTTCTTATAGCTACGCAATACAGTTATAAGAAGCCTAGCTACTAATTAAAAGACTGTTAGCTACGTATATATTACTAAGATAATGTTTTAGTGCCTGGCTAGTTATACTAACTAATCTTTCGTAAGCTCAACCCAGTAAACCTCTAGCTTCTCCTTTAAGGGTAGGTAAAATTGTAGAATTACATAACGTGTTTAAGCTGGGGCTTTGCATCATCGCTGAGATAATATGGGTTCACTAACGAATCACATGCCCCTTTTGGTACCATGGCACCACCAAGCATATCGGAGCTGGATGACCATTAGAGAGAAGACAAGCACTATCATGCATGCCTGGTACTTAGACGCGTCCCCTTTAATGAACGGTTTCCCTGCCTCAGTATGCCATTCTCACCATTTTCACAGGTCAAATTGCAGCTAGTCTTACACATGAGGATAATTTATCCTCCAAGAAGTATAACTATTATAGTCAAGTATCTTGTTTAGGTATATTAGGCTCGCTTCTTTAAGTAACAGTCAAGACCTCTCTGACGAGGAAACCAGCTGCCAGTAACCACCCATGGTGCATCCGGATCCACCAACGAGATCTCGTACTTGTTGATTAGCGTGGCGATGATCTTGTAAAGCTCGAGCTGAGCCAGGTGGCGACCAATGCAGACTCGCGAGCCGCTACCAAACGTCAAGTCGGCGGCGTTGTAGAGTCGAATTCGCTTGTTATATTCCTCCTCAGTCTCGCCTTCACTTTGGAGCCAGCGTTCAGGGCGATACGAGTCAGCGTCATCGCCGTAGACGCCCTTGTTACGTCCGGCTACGTACGGGTTGATGCCTACCGCTGTCCCTTGGGGCACAAAGCTGCCGTCCGGTAGCTTCAGGCCGGACTCGGGGACGTAGCGTTCAAGTAGCATGCACACACCTGGATGCATACGCATTGCCTCACGGACACAAGCTTCAAGGTCTGTTGTCTGGTCAGCTGGGGGGCGGTCTTGGAACAGGATATCCATATCCATAGATGACTCACAGGGCAATGCTCGTGCTGAGCTGAACGAGGCGACATTGTCGATGCCGGCAGCCAGGATCTCCTTCTCAAGCTTGGAATAAACACCAGGGTTATGGAGAGTGTACCAGAAGAAGGCGCGTATGGTGATAGCAGTGGTATCAGCGCCTGCAAGGAGGTTGACTAGCAGATAACCCATGATAATACCATCATTGACTAGATCTGGGTTTGTCTTCTTTGATTCGATAAAGTGGTTCAGAAAGTCAGGAACTTTCGGGTCGAAGTTCTCATCCTTCCCTTGCAGACGAGAGATCAAATGTTCCAGCGAGATGCGAGTAATGTTAGCCAAATTGGGAGGGCCGATCCGCATAATGGGGTTTTTGTCGAGAAGAAAGTCGAGGAAGGGCATCTGGCCGACAGCGGCGAAGCTAAGACAGTTAGTAGACATGGTGAGAGCCAGGGATCCTGTTGGGTTGCCTTACTAGTCAAGGGCCTTATCGGCGATAGAGATGGTGTTGTCATAGTCGTACCCTTTATCCATGTATCCAAACCGCTGGCTAAAGGAAGCAGCACCATTTGCGTCCCACGAATCTGCAGAGACCCTAGTTAGCATATTCAGTAGTCACTATGGAAAGTTGAGCTTACAGAAACCGATCCACTCGCCAAAGTCGAATCCTGTTGGCTCAGGACCGCTCATGAACCTCTGCTCAAGATGGTCGCAGAATTCGCTGATCAAACCATCAAACAAAGGCTCAAGACCTATAACTCTGCTCTGAGAGTAGTACTTAACAATAGGACGCTTCATGCGGGCATGCTCAGCCTGATCAGTGGTGCTGAACAGGTGATATGTGATCTTGCCATCGATAACAGCACTGTTATTGTGATAAAACTCAGTCTAGAGCAAGGCCAAGGTCAGTATGCATGGAGAGTGTACAGAAGGATAGAGCGAATAGACAGATGTATAATACCTTCTTCCACTTGCCATCAGTACCATAGAGGGTATTAATTAGCTCGGGGATGTCGAGATCCAGAGTGTTGGGGCCAATGCGAACAACAGGGCCATATTGATCATGAAGTTCTTTGATCCTAATATGGTAGCTACCCTTCCTCACAGTCCACAGGCGCCATAAGTTAGTCCAGCCTGTTTGACGTTAGCTTTACCAGCTGAGACGGGAAAGGCCTACGCTTACCGGCTAAACGGGGTCCAGGATATTTTCGGAGCGGTGATGCAAAATACGTTACAATCCACCACGCAGCTATACTCAATACGGGAACAAACACGAATGCCGCGCTGATGCTTCTCCAGTCCGAGCGTTGGAACAGAGTGTGAAGGTATGAGGTGCTGTGAATGGAAGGCATCTTCAGAGGCAAGAGACAAGAGACAACCTGCCAATGAAACATCGACTGGGTTTACCGGTATTAGAAATAGGAGGACCAAGCCACATACATATACAGTCTGTGACAGCCTGTTTTGCCAGGGTCAACTGTTGGGCTAAGACTGGTTAAGCTAGGGTCCCTAAGACCTCCCCAAATTAAATGACCACAAATACACCAAAGAACGCTGGTGTTCCACCCATCGAGGAGTCGCTTGTTTATTCCCCCCACCTACATCTGCAGTTATAACCGTCAAGGTGGCATCGTTGCTCCAGGTCTGGCTTTGTTAGCGATGGTAAGGATCCAGCCAACACCTGTTATGCATCTCCTTCGAGTACTAATGCTGCTGGGTCCACGCTAAACTGGAAGACAGGCCTCATGGCAACCGCTTAGTTAATAAGTAAATACTGATTGGCTATCACGTCACCAGGTCCCCAGCAGCACTTGGTACTCAGGGAGATAAGATTAAAACATTGTCTGACAACAAGTCAATTCTGGCAGCAAACAGTACTATTATATATCGGCTATTCCAGCTTTTCCTCTGACTGAGAATAGAAAGCTTATTACTTGACGAGGACATGCCAGTGAATCTACCGGTACTGCCCATAGCTCAGAGAGTCCTACGCACGCTGCTGTTGGTATCGATGGCATCTTGACAGGGCGATTTTTAGTTTTCGGGGAGACGGGTTCATGCATTAGTTCTTACACGATACACTAAGGAGCGTTGGCTCTGCAATGTCAGAGTCAGCATTGGCGAAGATGCATGGATGAACATGCTGCAGGGGTTGGAAATGTATTGTGCATCGTAAATCACTACATGCCGGTACCCAATTAGAGGGACTTATAGCTGAGTAGCAAGTACAGTATGTTAATAGATGCCTTTCTCAAGACCCCCAGTAACAAATCAGGACATCTCAAAAGGTAGGAAGAACCTCTTTTTAGCCTCTTAGAAAGTCAGTAGCAGCCTTTGTATAGTGCGGGACGACTTAAGTAATTTCCGACCCCCGCAGCCTGAAATGCTGCTCACTCTGTGCGTACGTATGTCATGTGGGGAATCGTACGTGGCCCAGGGTCTGTGCTGTTCCCGGACGAGGATTGTGCGTGTTTCTGCCAGGAATAGGGGACTCGGGGACTCGGGGATACGAACTAAGACGCCACATTAGACTGTGGTTCCACTTCCGTTGCGACTCGGCACGGCACAGTATGCAAAGCAAGGATTCCTTCTGAGAGACGTGGGTAGAGATAACAGACAAATCATTAGCGGGATTGCATGAGGTTCACTTCCGGAGACGCTAAATACGCTAACCAGTTCCGAACTACTCCGTATACAGTACACAGTTACGAAATTAAGTAGCACCTGTAGATTTAACTTAGGATATCTATATCCCTTTAACAGTCCTAAGGGCATTAATTTATATTAGCCTGTAAAAATACCTTTCTTTTACTTATAATATTATATTTACTAATAGTAAAGCTAAGTAAATTTATTATTAAAAAGT